TGTTTGGCGGGCCCGGGCTGGGGATTCGAACCCGCCACCTTAGGTGTATGTGGCTGGCGCCTTAGCCGCTTGAGCCACAGGCGCCGAGCCTACCTATTATTTTTTAAAAAGAACAGATTAAATTGAGTTGCTGCCAAATTCAGATAAATAAATACTAGAAACAAGGTCCAGGGCAGTGGTTTAAAAGTATGGTTAAAAGAATCACCTGGGAAATTACTAAAAATACAAATTGTCATTCCTCAGCCTAGATCTTCTGAATCAGAAATCATGGGGGTGGTGCCAATGAATCTTTATTTTATTTATTTATTATTTGCAGTCTTTTGGCTGGGGCTGGGTTTGAACCTGCCATCTCCTGCATATGGGGCTGGCGCTCTACTCCTTTGAGCCAGAGGTGCTGCCCCATGAATCTTTATTTTAAGGCTTCCAGGTGGTGCTGATGCACACTAAAGTTTGAGAACCATTTGCCTGGGAAATAAAAAAGAATTGAAAGGGTATTTTCCTTGGACTTTGGAGATGGAGTGGGTGGGGAGAAAGGAAAATTTTGAGTTCAAAACAAGAGCAATTGCCCAAATCTCCTTTGATTTGGAGGTTGCTAATTTGGCCTATTTGGTGAGAACTTGCATGTGATATTCTCACCAAGTCGAAGATTCACAGTATTCTCACTGGAGGTTGGCGCTGGCTCACTGCTCATAATTAACCACGAAGATCATAACTTAATTTAGAGTAGGAAAAAATCCTGACAAGTAGAGCCATAAGACCTTTGTGAGGTGACGGGGAGGACTGATCCTTAAATAGTTAAAAAGAATTTCTTGGCACTTGGCACTCCCTCATTTTTTTCTCTTCAAAGACTTGAAATCCTTTTTTAAACATTAGCATTTATCATTCAGGACAGGCAAATGCCTTCTTTAATTTTCTGCAGTGATATTTCATTGCATTAAAGATGGTCAGAATAACCTTTATGGAACTCAGCTGGAGCCTGCCCTTCTGGGGAAGGAGACAGGAAATCTGTTTTGACTGACGTGGTCATTGCTTGGATCTGGCCATGTTCTGTGCTGCCTAAAACCTTCATTGCACTTGGCCAAGAAATTGGAACCCTGTCAGTGTTCACAGTCTGCAGATATGATTTATGACATGGAAGATCTGAAGGCTGGAGTAGGTTTCTTCGGCTACTGTCACTCAGCTTTGAAAACAGAAGTGGTGAAAGCCTCATATTAGCAGAGACCTTGCTGAAAAACTTGACCAAACCCAGGGATCAGGCCACTGTAATATGTTACTGTCTGATAACCAGAAACAGTGAGATCTTTTAAAATTGGTATGAAAATTATCTTTGACTAGGATGTCAGTTGAAAGAAATGATAAAAGATATAAACAGATAAAGATTAAGTTTAGTTTAAATCCAAAGTCTGTGACTTTGCACAGTTATCTTATGTACTTTTCTGGTCTCCTTCACCCTACAGGGGTCCAGAGGAGATAGGAGGAGGTATGGTGTCATTTCCCAGATGGCTAAACAATGACCACAAGAGGATAGATATGTACTTGCTGTGATATCCAAGTTGAGATTAACATTCACTAAAAGGTTACTTTACATGAATTACTTCATCTGTTCCTCATGTGTTCCTTATGTTTTCAGATGGGGACACTGAGGCAAGGAAGATGAGGCAGAGGCAGTCCAACTCCAGAGCCCATGAGCAGCTCAGCAGCTCAGACCTGCAGCTGCTATCCTGCATGGAGCGCTTTTATGTGAATCAGAAAAAGGGGCCTCAGGCCAGGCGTGGTGGCTCACTCTTGTAATCCCAGCACTCTGGGAGGCTGAGGCAGCAGGATCACTTGAGCTCAGGAATTCGAGAGCAGTCTGAGCAAGAGTAAGACCTCTGTCTCTATTAAATACAGAAAAAATTGGCTGGGCATAGTGGGAGGCACCTGTAGCCCCAGCTACTTAGAAGGCTGAGGCATGAGGATCTTTCGGACCCAGGAGTTTGAAGTTGCTGTGAACTAGGCTGATGCCATGGCATTCTAGCCTGGGCAACAGAGTAAGACTCTGTCTCAAAAAAAAAAGGAAAAGAAAAGAAAAAGGCGCCTCAGTAGGAGAGCCAAGTAGGAGAAGGAGCCCCTTTGGGTGAAGGTGGCCCAGTACAGGGTACATGGATTAGGCAGCAGAGCATAGGCTGGATTTCAGCCCCGGCGTGCCACCTCTGCTGGATACCTTTGCACAGCCAACAAGAAGCTCCTGTCTGGTCCTACATACGCTTCTTGGTATGCAGAGACTCTCTTGTGTCCGTCTGAGGAAGTGCTAGCTGGGAAGCATCATGTAGCATCCCAAGTACCCCCGGAAAGAGTTTAGAGTCTAGTTCAGGGCCTGGAAATATGGACAAGCCCAAGAAGCCCAGTGGTCCAGGTCCAATATTTCCTAGAAGCATCAACTATCATCACCTATCAACTATCATCATCAAATGCAGCATCATTTTTGGAGGAAGCCATAGTCAAGTAGCTCTGGCCACCCAGAGCTGTAGGTGACAGGGGCTGGGTCTCTAAAGTTAATAGTCTGTCCTCTAGGAAGGGGACCTCAGCCAGCACACCTGCATATCCAAGGCCCCCAGGAAAGTGAGAACAAGAAAGTGGATGTGCATGTGGGCTTTTTTGTAAGGTTCCCAAAGTCTCTACTCTTACATCAATCTGCAGCCTCTGGCAGGAAAGAAATCTTTCAATAAATCCAAGGACATGAAGCATGTTACTATCATTTGACTTGTGATGCAGCAAGTGATGCATTAACACATTGGACTGTGCATTAACTCAGCACAGTCTGTGTTCTGACTTACGGACACATGGCCTGAAAGTGAATGGAAGGGTCATTCCCCATTAACATCTTTTAGCAGTGCGAAGTTTTTCTGACAATCTTGTGTATGAAACCCACCCGAGCTGTCTCTACCTTGGCTGTCTTGATGACTTTCTCTGGGGGATTCCTCTGGTTCTTCATGATAGTCCAGTGCATCTTCACTGTCCTGCTGGGTTAATGCACAACAAAGAATGCATAAGAAAAAATAAATGCAAACACTCCTGTGGTCTGTGCCCTTCAGTGAAAGAGAAACCAGTGTTTTTAGTAGTTCTTCTCTTTCTTTGTCAACTTGCTTTAACTTAAGTGCACAAGAAGGCTACTACTACTAGATGGATGGGCTCAAAGAGCAAGGCAGGGCTCGGCGCCTGTGGCTCAAGCGGCTAAGGCGCCAGCCACATACACCTAAGGTGGCAGGATCGAATCCAGCCTGGGCCCGCCAAACAACAATGATGGCTGCAACCAAAAAAAGTAGCCGGGCATTGTGGTGGGCGCCTGTGGTCCCAGCTACTTGGGAGGCAGAGGCAGGAGACTCGCTTAAGCCCAGGAGTTGGAGGTTGCTGTGAGCTGGGATAGCTTGAGGCTCTGTCTCAAAAAAAAACAAAGAGCAAGGCAGGCGTGGCAGCAACCTTGAACACTGTTAGGTTGCTAGTTATACTTATTTGGATGGAGTCTTGTCCCATTCATTGGCGAAGTGCTCGATGCCTGGCCTATGTAGGAGTTTACCGAGGGAAAAATGTCGTAGGCAAAGTCCAACTGGCAGAAGGGAGGAGGGCACACGACTACTGCAGAGTCTGAGAGAAGCTGGCGGGGCGTGGAGGAGTCAGACTCCCAGGCCTTGAAAGCAGGTTAAGGATGTTGGTCTTTATCTTGAGGACAAATGGAAGGCATTGAAGTTTTAAATCAGGGAAGCTGAAGGGTCAGCCTAGCCTTTTGTGGAGTTCCCAGGATTACCACATATTGGATTTTTATCACATTCCATCCTCTCTTTGCAATACCACCACCCAGAAGCCTCTACAATAGTGGTTCTCAACTCTGGCTACACATTAGAATTATTTGAGGAGTTTCAAAACATGTACCTCCCAGGACTTAATCCCAAACAATAAAATCAGACTTTCTGGAGCTGGGATGTTTTTAAGGTCTCTAAGTTGCTTCCAATATGAGAATCACTGGAATAGCAGCTCTTTAGTACCAAAGGAACATGGCAGGTAGGTAAGCTCCTCGTATCTTCTGTGGCCAGCTCTGGCCCCTTGTCGCCTGGATCCCTTCTCCATCCACAGCTTCAGTTCAGCAATAGAGCTAGAATCTGACGTGAAAGACCCTGGGAGTTTCTCTTGGTTTACCCTCATCCTAGGTGATAATCAACTTTCCACTTTGTTATCAAAGATGCAACCTGCTTTGGAAGAGAAAATTAATTATCTACTAATTTGGCACTTTCTTTAATCCCCCTCTGAGTTTTCTCACTTGGTGACTTTTTTACACTGAGTTTCTCACTTGTTAGCTTAGTATTTGTAGCTGATGAGATGCTGACATGAAAAAGCTAAGGCAGATAAAGAATTTTCTTTCTTTCTGGTTTCTCTTTTTGGAGACAGAGCTGATTTGGCCTGGGTACAGTAAAAAATTCATTCCTGAATAATTGGAGAGGTTTAAAGAAATACAGTAGGAAAAACCTACCTTTGGTGATAGCAAACAGCTAAGCTAGAAGACTAGAAAGAGAGAATTGTTTTTAAAAATCCCTGTTTATAATCAAGCAAGAAATTGGATTAAAAGGGAGAAGCAAGGTTCTTCTTTAGAAGAATTTCAAAGCCAAGAAGGGTAAACCTTTAGCTTCAACAACATGCAGCTACAAGCCTTCAGGGGCAAAGAATACTCTTCTCATTTCACAGATGGGGAGATGGAGGCAGAGTCAGAGATTTGGAAAAAATCTTCAGGTGAATTCTTATCAGAAAAAGAAATAGTCTTAATTTGAAACTTTATACACTCAGTTGTATATTGTTTAGAAAAGTCTTTAAAAAATCCCATCATTCTTAGATATATAAGCACATATGTGAAATGATTTACACCTAATTCATTCATTGAATTGGAAATAACCTAAATGTCCATTAATTTTGGACTACTCAAATAAATTATGGTTAGTTTATACAATGGAATACCATGCAACCATTAAAAGGAGCAAAGCATCTCTATGAATTAACATAGAAAGAACTCCAAGACATATTAAGTAAAACATATTAAGACTCTGGGCATGGTGTTGGTGTGCAGTGGTTAGGGCACCAGCCACATACACCAAGACTAGTGGGTTTGACCCCGGCTCAGGCCTGCTGTTTAAATAGCTGGGCATTGTGGCAGGCATCTGTAGTCCCAGCTTCTTGGGAGGCTGAGGGAAGAGAATCACTTAAGCCCAAGAGTTTGGGGTTGCTGTAAGCTGTGACACCATGGCACTCTACTGAGGGCGACATAGTGAGACTTTGTCTCAAAAAAAAAAAAAATTAAAACTCTGGAAAATATGAATAATATGGCAAAATTTGCATCAATATCTATCTGTGTATTTATTTAACTGTACTTGTTTATACATGCATTCTAAATCGCAGGAAGGGCACAAGGGAAACTAGCAACAGAGGTTGTTCTAGGGAAGTAAACTGAGTGGCTGAAAGGCACCTTGTTTTCTTTTTTTCTTTCTGTTTTTTTTTTTTTTTTTTTTGAGACAGTCTCTCTCTATGGCTTAGGCTAGAATACTGTGATGTCAGCCTCGCTCACAGCAACCTCAAACTCCTGGGTTCAGGCAATCCTGCCTCAGCCTCCTGAGTAGCTGGGACTACAGGCACCTGGCACAATGCCTGGCTAATTTTTTCTATTTTTAGGGTCTTGCTTTTGCTCAGGCTGGAACTCCTGAGTTCAAGTGATCCTCCACCTTGGTCTCCTAAAGTGCTAGGATTATAGGTATGAGCCACTTCACCGAGGCCTGTCACTTTTAGTATGAGTTATAATGACTAAACCAAGTAATAGAAACACAGGTGATAACGCTTGGTGAGTGAGCAAAACCAACTGAGGGACTGCAAATTCAAATCCCAGCTCTGGTATTCTGGCCAAGTCATCTGCTCTTTCTCTGCTTATTCAGCTAATGAACATTTATTGAGTGTCTGCTGTTTGCCAGATGCTGTGCTAGGCATTGAGCACTCAAAGATGAAAGATCTATTCATGGGATGTTCCTGACTTGTGGGGAAATGGCAAGTCAGTTTGCAATGCAGTGTGATAAATGTTGTGGCACATCATGACAGGTTTCTGCCGGGCCTCATGGGAGGTGAAGCTAAATTAGGCTGGAAAGGTTTGTTTACCAGCAGACACAGTGCTAAATCTTGCAGGAAGGGAAGGTAGGACAATTCTAGGCAGAGGAAACAGCACATACTGTTTGGGGGCAGTTTGGTGCAGGAGACAGTGTGGGGACAATTTAAATTAGACACAGGACAGATGTTACACGTTGAAATTCGGAGCTTTAAAGAAACTGCATTTGTCGTATTTTTTATTTTTAAAAGAAATCTATATCTGATGCAGGGAATTTAACCAGAAGCCCAATGGAGGCACAGTAAATAATTTTAAGCAAACCTGTGATAAGCCTGAACTATATTTAGAAAGAGCACTGACAGCAGTGTGGTATTATAGGACTGGAGGGGCTGAGGGGGAGGAGAGTCACAAACACTGCGTAAACACAATCTACAGTATTGAAACCAGCATGTGACAGTTTCCTGAGTGGCTGGGGTTCAGGTACTGGAGTCCTTACTCTTACACTTCAGATCATGGGAGTTTCTTAACCCATGAGCCTCAGTTTCTTTAACTGTACATGAAAGGCACTGGACGAATGATCTTAGGTTCTTATCTGTCGTTGGAAAACCTGTTGGGCCTGCCTTCCATCCTTATGCATAGGCGCCTGTAGGTCAGTGGTTAGGGCACCATCCACTTGGACCTTGCACCAGGGCTGGTGGGTTCAAACCCGGCCTTGGCCTGTTAAACAACAATGACAACAACAACAACAACAACAACAACGAATAGCTGAGCATTGTGGCAGGCTCCTGTAGTCCCAGTTATTTGGGAGGCTGAGGCAAGAGAATTGCTTAAGCCCAAGAGTTTGAGATTGCTGTGAGCTGTGACGCCATGGCACTCTAGTGAGGGTGACATAGTAAGACTGTCTGGGGGAAAAAAAAGTGAGACTCCTATCTCTACTAAAAATAGAGAAAATGAGGCTGGACAAGGTGGCTCATTCATTTCAAAGAATGTTCACATCTAGAAATGACTCAATTTGTAAGGAAGCCTATAGCCCAGCACTCTGGGAGGCCAAGGCAGGTGGATCGCATGAGCGAGACCAGCCTAAGCAAAAGTGAGAACCTGTGTCTACTAAAAATAAAGAAAAACTAGCAGGGCGTTGTGGCAGGAGCCTATAGTTCCAGATACTCAGGATACTGAAGCAAGAGGATTGCTCAAGTCCAAAAGTTAGTCTGAGGTTGCTGTATGCTATGATGACATCATGGCATTCTACCCAGGGCAAAAGAGACTCTGTCTCAAAATAAATAAATAAATAATAAAAAGCAAAACAAAACTGACTTACAAAAATCATAAGGTACCTTATGTTATTAACATTAAGATAGATTATCAAATCTCTGCTCCCCCTCAGGTTCTGAAGCCGGAACAAAGAGGTACGATTAACTCTTCACAGGAACAAAACAGACAGACCTCATCAATATCCGGTATTGTGGGTTTTGCCCTTTGAATCTTATTAATAGCTCTGTTTGCTGCCAGCCATGTGACAGATCATCTTTGAGCCTCGGTTTCCTCATCTGCACAGTGGAGATCTGCACATTTATCAGAAGGGATGACGGGAAGATTAAACAAGGTTCAGTATGGGAGGGGCCTGGAAGGATCAGTGAAGTTTGTTTCTTTCTTCCTTACAAATTGAGTCATTTCTAGATGTGAACATTCTTTGAAAATTATCATGTCGGCTCGGTGCCTATGGCTCAAGTGGCTAAGGCGCCAGCCACATACACCTAAGGTGGCAGTTTCGAATCTAGCCTGGGCCCGCCAAAACAACAATGACGGCTGCAACCAAAAAATAGCCGGGCATTGTGGTGGGCGCCTGTGGTCCCAGCTACTTGGGAGGC